GCCGCGGAAAGGTGCCTTCTAGATCTTTACCTCATCCAGTCAAACCAAAAGAGGCCAAACTCCCCTGGCAATATTCTCCTATATACAGCCAGCGTAGTCAGCCTGGTAGAGACTAGCAGTATACGACGTTCTCCCAAAACGGACCAAAACCAGTTAGGGGAACTACAGAGGACAACGTGGTCACATTTCCAAAACGGGGCCCGGCCGGGCAGTCTTATGAAACGAAAAGTATGATATAAAAGACAACAAAGCAGAAAAAAAGTGGCAAAATGAATACTTGGAACCCTTTGCGTATATCATTGATATGAATTATTGATTTTTTGTTAATCTAAACAGCCCGGCCAGGCCCCGGTTGGGAAATATGACCTCAGCATAAGTGGGCTCTAAAGTAACTAGAGCATAGAGCATAGTTTGAGCTATCGAGTATATATATATATATATACAGTCCCCGTAAATTGGTAAATTTGTCGGTTACGAAAAAGTGACAGAGAACGATGACAATCATGACAACGTTTAGAGAAAAACGGACGAAAAAAATGAGTTGCTCACCTTCACTTCGTACCTGGTGCTCTGGCGAAAATTGGGCCCGATGGGTCGGGTTTATCGGATAGGAAGCAAAAAGTGGTCAAACCAGTAGTAGCACTTAGTATGACCAATAGTAGCGCTGTCGCCATGCCTCCCATTCTCTTTCTTTGAAGGTACCCCGTAACTATGGTTCCGGGTCGGAGTTTAATTCTGACCTGGGTTCCAAATAGTGCGCAGTAAATCGCCGGATCTGCGAGGTTGTCACGCTAGGTTTGGCTCCCCATAGCTCGGCGATCGCTGTAGATTTTCAACTAGGTTTTGAATTGATCAAAAAGCCTTGGGATTGTAGTGTTTTTCGGCGCGGTGAAGTTGGACGGCCAGCGAAGCGTTTTTGGTATCAGTCCGCGAGCAAGGGTGATGTGGTTTGTAGCCTGATGACCCAAATAGCTGCGTTCTATGTGGAATTTCTAGGGGTTCGCGTCACCGGATTTTGCGAAAAACTTATCGCAACAACCTATATTTTTTTTCTGTTTTTCAGAAACAGAAAGTAGTAAGCTATTTCAGCATATAAGCCGTTAGCCTGGGAAAATTCGTTTTTTCCAAGCAGGTCCGTTGAAAAAAATGCAAAAAAACTACATTTTTTGTATCCAAAATTTACGTTTAACTACAGTTTCTACCCAAATTATAGAGTATACGACATTGGTATAGTTTTTATTAATTTTTTTTGTAACTTATGGTATATTTTTGCTCATTTTGCAACTGTTTTGTACGATTTACAGTATGGTTGAAAACTTTTTTTTTTGGAAACGGCCGAAAATTCATGCGCGCGCGGATGCCATCCATATAATCAAATCAACATGGCCTTATCACTATTTTCATCACAATCTTCCCGCTATGCCACACTGGGTCTTGTAGCGAAGACACCTTTGCTACAAGACACATTCGCTACAAGACATGATCGCTAGCCTCTACCAGGCGTCGGGAGGCGGCTGAAAAGAGTACATATCGGCCAAATAGAGACGTAACATGCCAGGGGAGTTTGTTTGCGGGGAGAAAACATTTTGCCGCATGTTATCTCTCTATTTGGTCGATTTCTACTCTTTCCAGCCGCCTCCTGAAGCCTGGTAGAGGCTACATGATCGCTACAAAGTTTGCCACATGTTGCCATCCCCCATGTTCCCTCCCCTCACATTGCTACACTAACGACAGCTCGGAATTGATCTATTACCCCGATCCGCAGTCAGGGCTACTGAAGGGGGATTTTCAGCCGGCTACACGTCAAGGAAAATGCTAACCCGACTTAGAAAGCAAAATCAATACATTCTCGCCGTACTTTTATCCGCTTAACGCCCACGATGCCTCTCCCTTTATGTTCACCACCACAAAAACAAGCCAACGTTTCTAACGACATTCGCTACATTAACGAATAACCTAACTGCTACACGTTCAAATTTGCTACAAGAAAATTTAGCAATTCATACAGGCAAGGTTTTAGAATGAATCATAATCTTACAAGGTCTAAATTCCTGATTTTTTAGTGCAGGTTTTATATATAAAAACACCATCAGCCCAGCTTTGATCCGACATAAGGGATTGCGTAGTTAGTACATATGGCCACACCAAGTAAATTTTATGGATGACGTCCGCGCGCGCATTGATTTTGGCCTGTTCCTAGAAAAAAAAAACAAGAAATTCCGCTTCCTGTAACTATGACCAGAGAGTCACGACAGTGCAGCAAATCACCAGATTGATGTGAAACCCGTAACGCAAAGAAAGAGTCTATTGACAGGACCATCCTGTCAATAACAGAAAATTTGCACTATTGACAGGACCATCCTGTCAATAACAGAAAATTTGCACTATTGACAGGACCATCCTGTCAATAACAGAAAATTTGCACTATTGACAGGACCATCCTGTCAAAAATTTTCACTGTCCACTGTTCCACCTGATTTATTGCTGTTTTGATGATGAATAAAAGACTTCTTGCTTGTTGCACCATGGGCGATAGGCCACCGAGTTTTTGTTGAGATCGCTGTTGCTTTGTTTTATGAACACTCGTATACTGTGCACTCCGTACAAGCTTAAGATTCCCGATAATCATACACTGAACACAAACACTATGAACACGGTCCGTTGAAAGGATCCGAAGAGTCATGAACTCAACACATAACACCGTGAACACTGTCCGTCGAAAGATTCCCGAGAATCATACACTCATCGCATAACACCGTGAACACGGTCCGTTGAAAAATTTCCCTAGAATTCTCTGTACAATGAACCATACATATATAATACATACTGCTGGGTACTTGGTCCGCTGAATCATACAATAAAAAGCACACTCATTACTCAGCTGTTACATTGGCGTTCAGGGTAGCGCAAAGGCCGACGGGAATAGAACAGGTTTCGCAAACTCGAATGCGTTCGCAAAACCGCTGCTCGACTCGATAGAACCCCAAGCCGGGGCTAGCGCTAGCGGTGATAACTTCAAAAAGATGACAGGGTAGGAAACACCTACCCGTGAACTGCGTTACCAACTGGGGTGGCAGCAAAAATGTGACTTAGAATCACGTTCGGTGTGAAGTCCCTGCCTCCCCAGACTCAGAAAACAACGATATAGTACATTTTTAGAGATATTGCGCACAACTACACTTTCCAAATCTCATGCCTGGGAAACATATGTAGAACTGAAAACATGTCGGTGGGGTTTGTGGACGTGTTTAGAGTACATTTACACATAGCATGTCAAGACTCTTGTCGGGTGATGTAGCCAGTTGTGTGCGTTTACATTTTAGAACCGCGCGGGAAATGTGGGCCTATCGTGCGTCTGATTGGCTAGCGATGATGTCATTGACCTGTACAGCAGCGACCTGGTAACGCAGTTCGCCGGAAATTGGACTTTACAAAATGCTTCATATCTTCTTTAAAATATGGTATCATACTCCCAAAAAGTTTACATGGCTACTTAGTTACCCCTTGATTATAGATAGTATCAAGACTTTTATTTTCCTTATGGCATTTCGCAGAAAATAGGGTCTTTTGAAATGGCATTTCGCACCTAGTGTATACTAGTACTAAGTACCTAACCAAGATGAAGCGTTCGGAAGTCGCTGTTCGGCTCTCGGCAATCTTCGGGAGACTTCGGTATCTGTTCGTATGGTTCTTTGGAATCCTCATCAGTTTGTGACCGTGTTCAGTGTACGTATGATTCTAGGGAACCTTTCAACGGGCCGTGTTCACGGTGAACATTATGTGTTATGTGACTGTATGATTTTTGGGAATATTTCAACGGACCACTGTATTGTGATGGCAACGGGCTGAATGAGTAGACACAGTGTATGTTCTAACATGCGCGAAACAATAATAAGGATTTTATTTAATGGTTTACAAAACAATGTAACGTTACATGTATTGTTAGATCTCAACAAAACTCGGTGGCCTAGCGCCTGTGGTTGCACTGTGTCACCTCATTCAATTTGTGTCCTAACATTTGTCGTCTCTTAGTATATTTTTTAATCTAGGCATCTTGTTTTTTAGGGCCCTTCTTGTTTTTTTTCGCCCACTCGCATTAGATTTAGGGTCTCCAAAGGACGTCATCCATAAAATTTACTTGGTGTGGCCTATTATAGATTTTTGAAGCGACTCCCGGAAGTTGTGATACTGGGCGTCCCCTTATCCGGGTAGAGCTGTACACATATCCTGATGAACACACACGTAGTAAGGCCCGGCTGCCACGCTGCCGAACAACATAACATAACACAGCTCAGCCGACAGCGACCCAACTGGTCTACGACAGCTACCCAACTCTTACACCATTTCTAAACGGCCACTATGGTAAGCTATTCCATTTTCTATACCAGAACCTATACCTATAATGTAGTAGTTTTTTTTTGCCTGAGCATTCATTCTATACGCACATAACATAACACAGCTCAGCCGATAGCTACCCAACTGGACTTCTCTTACGCAGTTTCTCAACGGTCACTATGGTAAGATATATAATTTTCTTACCCTCTACACCAACCTAAGTCTATAAGCTTGTTTGCATGAGCATTTATTTATCTGTACGCAAATATATTATAACGCCGTTATTGCTGCTTATAATTATTAGGCGTGATCACATTGAAATAAATTTATTTTATGTAGGCAAAGTCCCATGTATAACTACTGACGGTCGTAGTTAGTAGAGTGATTTTGATGCTGTAGAATTCTCAGGCAGGTTGCGACAGAATCAACCACCAATAAGGAAGGAAGAAAGCCTTTCTGTAAGAAGACATTTGCATGTTGCAGGACACATATACGACTGTTACAAGAACTCAATGCAATCGTGCGACAAGTGCACCTTATTTGTGACTAGGCCCCGATATAAGTATCTACTGACATGAATAAGTAACTGTTATAGGTATCATTTTGACATGACGAATACTGTAGGCACAAGATTTGATAATAATGGCCCAACCTTACAGGAAATAAATATATTATAAATATAGGAACGCCCTCAACAAAACTGCAGGGATAAAACATAATTTTGCACATAACAAAACGTTATCTATTACTATGTATTTGCTATTCATATCTATTATTTCAAATTATTATTAGGCTACAGCAAGTAATTTTTATGGATGACATCAGCGCGCGCATTGATTTTCGCCTGATTTTGGAAAAAAAAAACAAGAAATTTTGTTGCCTTCTGACAGTGGTCAACATGCCGAAAATGGGCAAAAATGTATGTTGCCATGCCGGAAGGTGGATGGCAGATAACTAGGAAGAGAGGAGACAAGAGAAGACTCTGATTTAATGTTTTGTTTCTTACTTTGATGCAGTGATATGTGATGTTAGCTGTGTATATGTGATGTTCCCACTGAATCAAAACCATTTGTACAATGATTGAGTCAAAATTTTGAAATGTAGGAACCTTGTTTTTTTTGGCCCGCCTTGTTTTTTTTCGCCCGCTCGCATTAGATTCGGAGTCTGCGGAGGATGTCATCCATACAATTTACTTGCTGTGGCCTTATGTACAAGTACAAGTATCCAAAAACTTGTACTTTACATAATAGTAATACAAAAAAACAAAAAAGTACGAGTATCTATTATAT